ATATATAGTTATGTAATCAAAAGATTGGTAATCCGTATGGATAATCCCAAGGAGGATGTAACCCAGAGAGCTCAATGTAAAACCAGAGCGAATATTAATTTAATTAAAATGAAAAAAAAAAAAAGAAAAAAGAGAAAGAAAACCTTGTGGGTCCATAGATTATATCTTATTTCCCAGGAAAGTTAATTTTCCTGGTTCCTCAGATCCCATTTCCAAGCATAAAAAATGGTTTTAAGATGTCCATATTATTTTATACGCTTTTGAGGGGTAGTTTTAAGTTGATATAATGTGCTATCAACTTAAAACTGCCCCTCAAAAGGGTATAAAAATAATATGTAAATTATAAAACCATATAAAGAATATGTAAATTTAGAATTTTTTAATAATATGTAAATTTTATAATTTGTTAGGCATGGAAATATCATCTGAGGAAATAAGATGAAGTCAATGAACCCTTCAGGTTGTCTGTTTATTAATTCTAATTATATATATATATATATATATATATATATATATATATATATATATATATATATATATATATATATATATATATAAAAAAAAAAAGCTAAAACACTAATATTCCATGGTATTGAGTTCTACCTGGATTCTTCCTCTTGAATTTTTTTTTTTCTAAAAAATATACATATATGGGTATTTATATTTATATATTTTGCATATGTATGTATATTTTTTAAGATTATATATATATATATATATATATATATATATATATATATATATATATATAGATAGATAGATAGATAGATAGATAGATTGATTGATAGAAAAAAACCTAGTGAGGCAGACAAACCTATCCAGGTTTCACATAAACGGATCCTCAGGGAAAGCTCTTTTTAGTTAGTTGTTTACTCGTGTCGGGGTTTTTTCTTTGGGCTTCAGACCTGCATCTGTGCGATTTTTTTCGACAGACTTTCATGTTTCTAGCTCTTTCTTTTTTTAAAACCTTTTTCCCTCGAGATTGATTTGATTATTGGCAAATCAAAAATTCGAAGGTTTTTCGAAACGAGTATCGTTACCTATATTTGTATATATATATATATATATATATATATATATATATATATATATATATATATATATATATATATATTATTATTATTATTATTAACATTGGCATTATTTTAGTTGATACAGATGTTTGAGAAGGCATCTTCTCAAAAAGTGAAAATAACGTCTAAAATAATAATGCAAAATTATTATGCAATAAAATTATTTTTACTCAAACAGTGAAAATAACGTCTGCCTGCCTAGATCAACTAGGAAAATATACTTCTAGGCAAGAATAGAACCTGTATTACTTTTTTTTCTGGAAGGTTCGGTTGCTCTATTGAAGTACAATTTCTTTAATATGCCCCTTTTTATTTCTTTTTTTTTTACTAAAGACTCTCAAATCCTAAATGTGTAGCCACTAAAATACCTTTCATAATAAGGAGAAATATTATCGGATGAAAAATTCCATTGATTTCTGTTCTTGAAGTTGTAAAACGTTCTTTTTTTTGCTTTAAGTAATCAGGGCTTTGAGCAATTTGCTGTGTAGGTAGGTGTTTCCTTTCTGAGTTGTCTGTCTTTTGTCTTTCCTTGTTCGGGACATTTTTCTTTGCTTAGGTTTTAGGTCGTCCCGAAAATTGTCTGTTGGTCACACCAAGATCGCTGGGTTTTCTTCATTACATATATATATACCGGGTGTAATAGCAACATTTTCCAAATCGTATAACAGCAAAATTATCCAATTGTTAAATTAAGCATTGAAACGTTGTATCTTAGAAATGATTAAAGATATCTTACTGGAATTCTCCGAGGTTTTATAACACTGTTTGACTCTACCTGAAACAATAAGAATGTATTTTGCTTTAAGCTGAAATGATGATCCTTATTGTTGCTGTGACCTTCTGATCCAGTTTTCCTTTCTACTGTTCCCTCTTTTTTTAAATATTATACACCATCCTCTGAATGGTTCTTGAATGGACTTTGAAAATAGAAGCCAAACTATGAATATTAGGGACATTACTGAGGGGATTAATAATCTTTTTCCTAACATCATTGCCCCGTGGGACTGACACAAAATGATGTAAACCTATTCTCTTTCTAGCAGAATAAATCTAAGGATATTTCTGTGCTTCTTATGACAAATGGTCACAAGATGGTATCAAGATGACTAAACGTCTTATCTGAAAATCTGGCCCAAAAAAAGAAACTCAATTAGTTTAATGTATTTTTAAGATATTAAACATTTTCTGGGATGAACAATAATTCCATGATGTTATACGATTTGGAAAATTATTTTACTGTTATAGCCGATATATATATATATATATATATATATATATATATATATATATATATATATATATATATATATATATATATATATCCATGGAAAATGAGAACGAATAGCATCCAATTCCGACGTTCGTAACCTTAAATTTAAAAGAGAGCTCAATACAAAAGTAGAACAATATTGTTTATTTTAGGACATTACATCAAAAACATGCAAAAAACAAATGATCAATCCTGTTTCGATATTTAGTAACACATTTCATCAGACGTTCGATGATAATATGCCCTAATACCCATCAAAACAGCGGTTTTATACGTTTTCGATGTATTATTCTAAAACAATATATGTATATATATATATATATATATATATATATATATATATATATATATATATATATGTATGTATGTATGTATGTATATATACATATATATGTTCGAATTCCAGTCGAATCCACTGCATTCACTTACGTGCTAATACCCTTGGGAAAGGTATGTATCCTCTTCATCTCCCTCCAGCTATGGGTAAAATAGCAAGACAGACTGGGTTCTATAGCCTTGTATGGCAACTGGTCTAGGAGAAGGACAACTCTGAATTCAAAACCTGCGGAGGGTCGTTTGGGAACCTTGTGGCATGCATTCGGTGCACCAGGTTTCTGTATTCGTCCCTCCAAAAAGTGTGGCTGGTCCTGCACGAGGCCTTCACCACTATAATCAAATCTCATGTGCCGGTGTCGGGATGTCGGTTTCCTGGGGACTTATCGGCCTGACCCTCATACGTCGAACGCGACGGGAGAGTCGATATATATATATATATATATATATGTATGTATGTATGTATATATATATATATTTATTTATATATATGATACGATAAAGAACAGGTAGGGGACATCTTAATCTAACATGTCTCACTTCAAGCTTTGCATGAATGTTTGAAACTGGCCACTATTTCTTTATAATGTGTATCTTTTGTAATAGGCGTGTGTGTCTGTATATATATATATATATATATATATATATATATATATATATATATATATATCAAAGATATAGTTTTAAGGTATGCTATATTTATGGGTTAAAGTATATATATTTGTAAACGATATTTATAAGTTTATATATATATATATATATATATATATATATATATATATATATATATATATATATATCAAAGATATAGTTTTAAGGTATGCTATATTTATGGGATAAAGTGCTCAGTATCCGGGATAGATCATATGTAAACATGAACGTATGCATTAAGGTCGTCACCCAGCGGCGAGAGTCTGCTTCATGCTTACAAGTAATAGTTTTACATGTGTTTGTACAACACACATGGCCTGACCATTGCTTTTAAGCATGAAACACACTTTCTGGGTTTTGGCCTCACTGTCCTCATGCACACACACACACACACACACACACACACACACACACACACACACACACACACACACACACACACGCAATGACATTAATTTATTTTTATTTTTACTTTTACATTATTTACATTATTCGGACTTTCTCAACTTTGTCGCCATATTTATTATAACGTTTCGGCCATTGTACGCTCCGGCCTTCTTCAGGTGGTTGGAATGTCGAACTGAACCCTTTATTTCGCTCACAGGGGTAGACTGTTCTACTCCCACGTGCCATGTTTTAATGGATGTCAGTTATCAGTTATCTCCTGTTAATTCCCCTCTCCAAGTTCTCCACTGCCTTAACCGGCTATTGAACTCACAACTCCTTGGGTCCTGTCACTGGATATAACTAACACATTTATCCTTTTATTTTTAATCTTCAATTTTTAATTTTTACATTCGTAATTTTTAATCAATTTTTTAATTGTTATTTTTTAATGCTAATTACGTCCTAGTTTTAATGTGTTGCTATTAAATATATATATTCATGTTTTAATAAGAATAATTAATCTCCCTTTAATTATATATTTTTTAAGAAATTAAAACATGAATGTCAACACTGTGCGGCGATAACCTGTTTCATGGCCTGAATATTGAGTTCAACCATGAAATGGAATGATGCTGCTACTTTTCGTCCTCTTATTAAAATAAATGTTTTTATATCTCGTATTTACAAACAATTTTATAAACACTTAGTGCAACATAAAATCCTAACATTTACTTTGATAGATGGACGAAACGCGTCGTCTAAGTGTCCTTTTTGTCTTTATACATATTGCTCTTTTGCACATATATATTTTAGTCGTATCCGAAATTTTACACACACATTTTTCTTCTTTTTTTTCATTCTTGCTTATCGTTCATTCTTTCTTTCATTCATTGTTTCTTTCACTCATTCTTTCTTTCTTTCATTAATTCTTTCTTTTTTCTTTCATTCATTATTACTTTCATCATTTCTTTCTTTCTTTCACCCTTTCTTTTATTCATTTTTCTTTCATCCTTTCTTTCATTCATTTTTCTCTCTTTCTTTCATTCTTGTTTTCTTTTATTCATTTTTTTCTTTCATACTTTATTTTTTATTCTTTATTTCATTCATTTATTCATTCTTTCTTTTTTCATTCTTTATGCCATCTTTTCTTTTTTTTCATTCATTCTTTCTTTCTTTCATTCTTTCTTTCATCCTTTCCTTTTTTCATTATTCTGTTTCAATCATTTATTCTTCCTTTTATTATTTCTTCCATCCTTTCTTTAATACTTTCTTTTGTTCTTTCTTTCATGCTTTCTTTCTTTCTTTTTTCTTTCATTCATTTTTCTTTCTTTCATTCTTTCTTTCACCCTTTCTTTTATTCTTTCTTTCATGCTTTTCTTTCTTTCTTTTTTTTTTTCATTCATTTTTTCTTTCTTTTCATTCTTTCTTTTCACCCTTTCTTTTATTCTTTCTTTCATGCTTTTCTTTCTTTTTTTCTTTCATTCATTTTTCTTTCTTTCATTCTTTCTTTTCACCCTTTCTTTTTATTCTTTCTTTCATGCTTTCTTTCTTTCTTTTTTCTTTCATTCATTTTTCTTTCTTTCATTCTTTCTTTCACCCTTTCTTTTATTCTTTCTTTCATGCTTTCTTTCTTTCTTTTTTTTTTCATTCATTTTTCTTTCTTTCATTCTTTCTTTCACCCTTTCTTTTATTCTTTCTTTCATGCTTTCTTTCTTTCTTTTTTCTTTCATTCATTTTTCTTTCTTTCATTCTTTCTTTCACCCTTTCTTTTATTCTTTCTTTCATGCTTTCTTTCTTTCTTTTTTCTTTCATTCATTTTTCTTTCTTTCATTCTTTCTTTCAATTTTTTCTTTTTATTCTTTCTTTCATGCTTTCTTTCTTTCTTTTTTCTTTCATTCATTTTTCTTTCTTTTCATTCTTTCTTTCACCCTTTCTTTTATTCTTTCTTTCATGCTTTCTTTCTTTCTTTTTTCTTTCATTCATTTTTCTTTCTTTCATTCTTTCTTTCAATTTTTCTTTTATTCTTTCTTTCATGCTTTCTTTCTTTCTTTTTTCTTTCATTCATTTTTCTTTCTTTCATTCTTTCTTTCACCCTTTCTTTTATTCTTTCTTTCATGCTTTCTTTCTTTCTTTTTTCTTTCATTCATTTTTCTTTCTTTCATTCTTTCTTTCACCCTTTCTTTTATTCTTTCATTCATTTTTATTCCTTTACTAAATTCTTCGTTTTCCTTCTCATATATGTTTATTCTGAAAAAGGCTACGCTTTTATCACTCTGCCAGTTTCGCTTTTTTTCCTTTCATTCATTTAAGGCCCTCTTCTTTTCCCCTCTCTTTGTCTTTTGCTCGCTTTACTGTTCCCCCCCCCATTTCCATCTCGCATTAAGTTCTTTCAACAATCCTTTTCTTCATCATTTTTACGATTGTCTTAGTTATTGGCCTCAGGCTCGTTTAACAGTAGAATTACAACTCCCTGACATTTGAAATTATATATTCAACTAATATTCATGTTAGTGCAAGCGCACAGAGCTTTTCTGCTGTTTCAGCATCGACACTAGCAGAATGAGGATAGCATCTGCAAAGAATCTGGAAGGTTATCATTCTTTTCCTTGCATCTTGACTTTGGTCACGTCTCCTCCCGCCGTAGCTTCCCTGTGGCTTTTCCTATAAATATTTTCATAGCGATTGTTCTGAAGAGATTTCCTCTTCGGTTCGTTTACTTCACGAATTTAAACGCAGTACTAGATTGGCAGCTAGGTCTCATCATTTTATTGCTGAAATTGCTAGATAAAACCTCTAGTTTTAATTCAATAATTTCTTCTCTTGCACTTCTCGGCTGGGGAACTGTCTTTCGACTTCTTGCTTTCCCTTTCAATTGCAATCCACAAAAATTTAATTGCAACGTCACTTACTCTTAGTAACCCCTTTCGTCTTAGCGGCTTTGTCGCTTTGCTTGGTTTGGTTTAGTTTGGTTTATTTTGTTTACTGCTTATCAACCTCAATGGGTTATTTAATACCAACAACATTTTTAGGATAGATTCGTATGAATAGAATATGTATTCTTTGGCTTAGATTGGTTTGTATTACGGCATATCAATCTCAATGGGTTATTTAATGCCGACAAAATGTTTATTGCTGGTAATATGTTTTTCTTGAAAAATCTATTGCTGGGAATATTTTTCCTTGAAAAAATCTATAACTGGTTATATTTTTTTAAAAGAATGTATAGCTGTTTGTATTGCTATTACTTATTTTTTAAAAAGTCTTCCTGATAATAATTTTACCTTCAAAAATTATTACTGATAATATTTTTTTATTACAAAGTATTTCTGGCAATAAAACCTATTTTTACCCATGCTTGTGTGTTAACTATTTTCCCATAGCTGGGATCCTAACAGGTACTACCACCCCGAGTCAGGGTGGACCTGGGAACGCCAGCAGTTAAGAGGTGGTTCCACGTTTCTCGAAACTTCCTGATCAGAGACCTTGCTGTTGGACATAGTTTATCGTCTTACCCAGAACGCGGATGTAGTTTATCGTCATACCCAGGAGGCGCTTTGCTTGGGATGAAATAACTAAAATGATAATAATAATAATAATGATAACAACAAATAACTAAAAACGCGCATTGTAGGCGTAATTGAAAAAAGGTGTGCCATTGATCCTCATAAAAAATCAATTATTTCACTTTAAATTTAACAAATTATATTTATTAAGTACAAACAAGTAATATTCTATCCTAAAAATGTTGTCGACATTAAATAACCCATTGAGGTTGATATGCCGTAAAACAAAATATACCAAACCAATCTAAACCAAAGAATATATATTCTATTCATACGAATCTATCCTAAAAATGTTGTCCGTATTAAATAATCTATTGAGGTTGATATACCGTAAAACAAAATAAACCAAAACAAACTTGGACTTCTCGGCTCAGGAACTGTCTTTTGACTTCTTGCTTTTTTTTTTCATTTGAAATCAACATAAAATTTAATAGCAATGTCAATTAATCTGAGTAACCCCTTTCATCTTAGTGGCTTTGACGCTTTGCTTGTGATAAAATGACTAAAATGATAAAAATAACGATTAAAATACACATTGTAACCGAACTTGCAAAAGATGTGTCATTGATCCCCATAAGAAATCAATTATTTCACTTTAAATTTAATAAATTATATTTATTAAATAGAAGTAAGTACTAAGAAATTATCACAATTATTATGAGTATCGATTAAGATTAAAAAAACAAAACAAACAACGCTGTCAGGGAACTATTCTCTCGGTAGTTTGTTCTTCAAAAACGTGAAATTAATGGGGGAAGGTTTTCCCCCGTGAACATGTTGCTTACCTGTGAAGGTCTGAGATGGTGGAACTAAGGAATCTTACTCGTCCAAACATATGCCATAGTTATAGCGATATAGTGGGGAGGAGCAGACAACATTTTAGTTTATGGGACAAGATTTACAGGCAAGAGAATAATTAATCGTGAAGTGCATGAAAAGAAAATATTCGAAAACAACTGTCACATCTAGTTAATTCAATGGCAAAACTATGAGATCTAATTGCTAATCTGGTATCCCTTTCAGAACATATGCGACAATAGCTCTCCACAATTTCCTGTCCTTTATGGCTCTTAATATATTTTATATTTTTGTTATCTCTCCTAAACCCTTCTCTGTCGCTAGATAGATTATGCTTTAATTTCCTCTGTTCTTCTTGCCTTCAATCTGACCCTTGTGTATCAAATTTTTCTAAACCAATCTTATTGAACTCACAGTATTTCGGTCCAGTCACTGGCTCTAACTAACCTGGTTGAGGCGGTGGAGAACTTTGAGAGGAGATTTAACAGGAGATAACTGATAACTGACACCCAGTAGACATGGCACGTGGAACTAGAACACTCTAATCCGGCGAGTTCGACATTTCAACGACCGGAAGAAGGCCGGAGCGCACAAGGACCGAAACGCTGTGATAAATATGGCAACAACGATGGGGACAATAGTCCGAATAATATAAATATTGTACATAATACCTCATCTCAGAAATATAGACAGATACTGAAGAGCCGAAACTTAGTTATAAATATGGTGACAAAGATGAGGACAATAGTCGGAATAATGTAAATAGTGTACATAATACCTCATCTGAGAAATAGAGACAGATACTGAAGAGCCGAAACTTAGTTATAAATATGGTGACAAAGATGAGGACAATAGTCGGAATAATGTAAATAGTGTATATAATACCTCATCTGAGAAAAATAGATAGATACTGAAAGGCCGAAACGTTGTGATAAATATGGCGACAAATATGAGGACAATCGTTCGAATAATGTAAATAGTGTACATAATACCTCATCTCAGAAATATAGACAGATACCCCTTAACGTAACCCTCTTACTTCGCGTGGCCCTGGGCCTTATACAGGATGAACTTTCTTGCAAAAAAAAAAAAAAAAAAAAAAAGAAACATCCCGAATGATGCAAATTATTTTTTGCAGCTATTGTTAACATAAAATATTCCATTCTTATCTCCTGCCGAATATGATGAAATACGACGTTTATTTCTGATTTGTCGATTGTTGCTAATGATTTAATACTTCGTTCTCCTATTAAGTGTATCAAGTGTTCTTGGAAATCACAAAATATCTGCTTAAATTTCCTTCCTGTTTGTTTGTGAAGTTTGTGCATTGCATTAAGTTACGCGGAATCCTTTTCCCTAAATCCTGATATCAGGACGAGAATCTGTTTCAAGAGTCGCCTTCAGTGAATTATTATTTAAAGTAGTTAGTCCTCTAGAAGAAGTTCACCGAGTCATTCTTAAAAGGATGACGCATTAAAGTTTTTTCTAGAAGACCAACACAGAAGAAGAAACTTAGAAAAAACATTTTTGGGACCATTGCTCTCCACGTCTTCCTATCCTTTGTTACAGAGTAATGTTTCTTTTTACAATCCCACCCAGTCTCTGTATCTACCATCCATTTGCACTAGCTTGTTTTAGGTTATTCCCTCTTGTCTGTAACGTGTCCTGTAAGTGTTAAATTCTCTAAGACTTCTTTCCTCATTAGGAATCATTTTAACTGTCTTTTCTGATTGTACGTATAATGTCCTTTTTTGTTTATACTTTAGTTAAAATTTCCTCATTATTCAGATTGTCGATTCATGGTATTCTCAATATCCTTCTGTAGAGGCACATTTCTCTTGCCTGACATCTCTTCTTCATATTTGATGAGATTGTCCAGAATTCAGTGTCATATAAATGTATTAATATTACATAATTGTTCAGAAAGAGCACCTCAAGGTGGTGTAATGGTTAATAAGCTTGTTTCGCTAAAACCGTTACGACTGAGTAGTGAGTTCGATTCTCACTGGCTGCCACATCCTTTTTGGCCTTGTGTTACATCTAAGCTAAGCTTAGAAAATCACGATAGTAGTTTTGAAATTTTTTCATTGTTTCTAACCAAATTTTCCTGTTTCTTAATAATTTACTTAACTTTTGCAAGGCATCTTTCGCTATTCCAATGCGAACACTGATTTCGGTACAGAAGATATTAAATATAAATAAAATTAATAAAAAAAACAACAAAATACACACACGTTAACATATACTGACACGTGAAAAAATCGACAATCGAAGACAATTAATAAAACACAAGCATTTTGGCCGCGTCCATAGCTGAAATTATTTTGTATTACGTTTTTTTTTACACGTGGATGAGGCTATTTTTGTTTATATTAACGATTAATGTTGATATATATATATATATATATATATATATATATATATATATATATATATATATATATATATATAGTTAAATTCCCATATGAATTCTGTGGACATGACAGATTGGCATCAAATGACAATTGGAAAAAATATCTTAGAATTTGCCGACGCGTTTCGTCTTCCGACTTTTTCAAGGCAAAAATGAAATCGAAATGTTTTTGTTGTCATAGTTACATTAAAAATCCAAATTTAAAAAGATAAACGCTTGTGTCGACAACATTAACCAGTCATTTGATGCCATATATATATATATATATATATATATATATATATATATATATATATATATATATTGAACAATAAAAAATATTAAAAATTAAAATCTTCAGACACACTGGGTTATAGATTAATATTCTTTCGTTTATTATTATTATTATTTCATTTAGATTCCTCGACTAGTTTCGGCCAAAATGGCCATCATCAGGAGAAGAAATATTTCTGCTTGGTGGTAGCAGTAAGCTACAGAAATGAATGTCTTGATGGAGAAAATGAACTTTTGTCTGCAGTTTTCTTTTTTTTTTTTAATCTTTTTAACATGAATCTTTTAACATTCCTTGTGTTGGTCAAACAGTCTCTTTTAAGTTGTTTTTTGAGATAAGAGCTGGATGGATCCATGCTGCTCTGAATTCCCTTGGTCAGTTTGACAGATTTATTAATCCTGGAGAGGGGATGTGTCTCTGTTAAGTGTGTGCGTTATTTGGTTCTTAGGAAGTGAGTGAGTATGATATGTGTAAGCGTGTGTATATTGCTGTGTCATCATTTGGCTCATTAGGGAGTGAGTGAGTATGATGTGTGCCACCGTAAGCATGTCTGTCATGTGTGGGGAAATGTATCATACCCCTCTTATTTATATATATATATATATATATATATATATATATATATATATATATATATATAAGTGGGTATGTGGGGTTTTTTGTAGTAGTATAGCGATATATATATATATATATATATATATATATATATAGATAGATAGATAGATAGATAGAGAGATAGATAGATAGATAGATAGATAGATATAGAGAGAGTTGTCGCGATATGATAAATTACTGTCTACATTTTTTATTCTGCAACACACGTCATATTAATCAAAGACTGCAGCAGATATTTATTTCGGATGCCATGGGCACCCTGGAGGCGATGTAATGGTTAGCAAGCTTATCTCGCTAGAACAATTACGACTGAGTAAAGAGGTCGATTCTCAATGGATGCCCCATATTTTCAGCCTTGTGCCACATCTGAGCTACGATTGGAAAATTACTTTATTTCGGACGCCATATTTGATATTGTGATTTATCATTATTTAATTCAGAAATTTAATGATACTAAATTTATTACTAATGATGTCTCTACAGCGAACTAGCTCTAAACGGGGTGTGTGTGTGTGGGCGGGGGTAAACAGTGTGTTACACTATATCCTAAGAAAGTATGCAAAGTGCATTGTCTGTTTAAAAGAATGCGATAGGGAGAACGCGTTTTCTTTCTTTTTTTTCTTTCTTTAATATGACAGGCATGTTACTTAAAATGAATGACAGGAGTCTGCCTCGAAAACTGATCGCGTGTGTTTCTTACACGTGTCCGTTAAATGGGGAGATTAGTTTGAATTCTGTTGTAATGTGGGGTCTGGAAAAACACAACACTTAACTGCACAGAGCTAGTCGTGAGAGTAATATTCATTACTCAACTAGACAAGTCACTGCAACTATCATCCTCAATATTATATTCTTCGGTATTTAAACGAGATCTCACCACAAAGCGCGATGTAGGCCGGTTTTTAACGTGAGGCGTTCCGAGCCCGTGGGCTCGGGCAAAAATTGCCCATAGACACCCTATACAAGGGGCGGGTAGCTGTGTACCTCCCCAGACGAGACTCTGCCCTTCGGCATAACCTACTCTGGGTTCCTCTCCGCCCAGCGGCAGAAAGTCGACAAGCTGAGTCAACGATAATTGGTAACTTCTCTCACAATAGTATCTTCTTCTCCTCGTAGACAATTATCCTAGACTACTTATCACGGATGGACTGATCCATTCCTGATTGTAAGGAGAGTAAGTGGCTCTTACCACAACAAATTCATTTATGCGTAAATATCCTTGCGAAAGATATGAACCGGTCTCTTCACCCCACCAGCTATGGGTTAAATAGCAGGACCGATTAGGTTCAATAACCTTAATTACCAACCAGTCTACCACAGAAAGAAAAGACAACATACTTCGGGTAAAATCTTCTTGATCGTATGGCATGAATCGAAAGACGCACGCTCACCTAAGCGTGTATCTCGCATGGAGTTTAATTTGACTGACTGTCCCTCTAAAATGGTCGGGTGAATTTAAAGGTATTTCTTTGATTCTACATAAACAATAATCTTTCTGGAGAAATGGTTTGGCTTTATCGAATATCAATCTTTCTCCAATTTGTCCTTGTGCTTTTTACTAAATTTTGTCCAGCAAATTCTTCTCTGCGTTTTTAATCTGTTCTGTGGATTGAACTTCATTTAAGTTATAAATTTTTTATAGCTGTAATATCAGAATCTGACGCAACACAATCTTCATTAGTTCTGTATATCATCTGTAAATATTTGAAAATTATCGTTAAACCAGACATTACTTAATTTAATCAAATCTCCGGAGTTTGAAGCTTATTTATTTCCAATGCTATATCAGTTTGGGTCCCTGTCACTGGATCTAACCAACGCCTTTATCCACTGTGGCATGTGTCCTTAAGGACATCTGTATATGAATTTCTGGGACTTATAAACTTAATGTCTTCAGCAACCATTTTTACCAGAGTTCATATTGCAATTTTTGTTGTTATTATTGCTTTTCTATGGCACTCCTTATTACTGGTTCCTATATTGTATTCATTTTTATGCTTGGTCGGCTCAGGAGAATTTTGTTTCCTAGCATATGTGCTGATTCCTTAAGTTTACGAATTTTCCAATAATGTTCTTTGTCTACACAGATGCAGCGATATCCAACAAAATTAAAGAGTAAAAGACAAATTGTAGAAATAGGAATAGAGAAAGAGTAGATAATGGTGTCAGAAAAAATAATTTTTCCACGATGTAAAGAAAATATAATTCTTTATGGTAATAACAATCCTTTCTAAGACCATGAAATCCGATTCCGTTTAGTAAAAATAACAGATGAAAAAAATTATTTTATATAATTAACAAGGAAACCTGTGATGGAAAACATAGTCAATGAAAAATATCGTAAGCAATAATTTTATTTTCTAACATTTGTGTCGTACCTCGAAAATATGGACAGACTTGATATTTCCTTTTTCTCATTTTGTATCTATACCAGCCACCTTATTATCTATTCTTTCTTTCTTTTCTTCATATACACGCTGTGTGTCTATATTTAAATCTTTCTTCCCCTTTTTCTTCTCTCTCTCATTTCTTTCTTTCCACTCGTCATTATATTTCAATCTTTCTTTCTTTTTTTTTATTTTCTTTCTCTCACGTCCCCTCAATTCTCTCTCCCTTCCTACCGTCGCTGATTTTCAATCTTTCTCTTTCTATTCTTTCTCTTTCTCTCTCATTTCGTTCTCCCCACTCCATCGCTATATCTGAATCTTTCTTTCAATCTTTTTATTCTCTAACTCTCTTAATTTTTTCCTCTGTCTATCGCTTTCTTAACCCTTTTTTAATTCTCTCTCTCTCATTTCTTTCCCCCCCCCCAGTCGCTATATTTCAATCTTTCTTTCTCTTTTTTATTCTCTCTCTTTCTCGCCCCATCAATTCTCTCTCCCTTCCCACCGCCGTTGATTTTGAATCTTTCTCTTTTTTTATTCTCTGTCTTTCTCTCTTTCATTTCCTTCTTCCCACCCCGTCGCCATATTTGAATCTAACTTTATCCTTTTTATTCTCTCACTCTCTTAATTTTTTCCTCTCTCTGTCGCTTTCTTTCCCTTCTTTATTCTTTCTTTCTTTCTCTCTCGTTTCTTTTCCCCTAGTCGCTATATTTCAGTCTTTCTTTCTTTTTTTATTCTCTCTCTTTCTATCCCTCACAATTCTTTCTCCCCTCCCACCGTCGCTATATTTCAATCTTTCTTTCTCTTTTTTATTCTCTCTCTTTCTCGCCCCCTCAATTCTCTCTCCCTTCCCACCGCCGTTGATTTTGAATTTTTCTCTTTTTTTATTTTCTGTCTTTTTCTCTCATTTCTTTCCTCCCACACCGTCGCCATATTTGAATCTAACTTTATCTTTTTTATTCTCTCACTCTCTTAATTTTTTCCTCTCTCTGTCGCTTTCTTTCCCTTCTTTATTCTTTCTTTCTTTCTCTCTCGTTTCTTTTCCTTTAGTCGCTATATTTCAGTCTTTCTTTCTCTTTTTTATTCTCTCTCTTTCCATCCCTCACAATTCTTTCTCTCCTCTCACCATCACTGTATTTGAATCTTTCTTTCTATCTTTTTATTCTCTCTCTCTCATTATCTCTCTACAACTATGTCACTTAGTCTAGATGAGAGTGTCTTGTTCTTAGCACCTCGGTCTGTAAAAATGTGACAGCTGCGAAGGCAGATAATCATCAAAGACTTGGAATTAAGGGAAGAGACCAAACCCTAACCCAAAAGACCGCAGTAGAAAAAAAAAGAAAAAAAAAACGAAAACGAAAAGAAAAAAGAAAGAAATCGTAAACAAATAAAACGAAAATGCAATGTTTTGAGAATAAACTCTACCTCAGTCTCGTCTATTTCTCTTTCCTATCTCAGTTTTGTGTCGCCTTCTTTGGTCTTTCATGGTGCAATCACATAAAAATACAAGCAGACATTCCAAAGTATACAAAGATGTATTAATGTCTCTAGGCCCCTTTTTATGTAACGAAGAGGTCCAATTGACTAAATTGACTGAAGCCTACTTCAAGGCGACAGTATCTCCCATATTGCATATGTACAATTTCCCTGAAAGTTAGAGGGTCAGAGTTAATTCCTGACACCGGAAATGGTTTTTGGCATCTTCCGTTCGATTATGGGTGAGAACTAATGCATATAAAGAGAAAATTGATCATGTTCATATCTATCTATCTATCTATCTATCTATCTATCTATCTATCTATCTATCTATCTCAGTCTATTCATATCTCTATTATCTATCTATCTATCTATCATCTATCTATCTATCTATCTATCTATCTAGTCTGTTCATCTATCTATCTATCTATCTATCTATCTATCTATCTATCTATCTATCTCAGTCTGTTCATATCTATCTATCTATCTATCTATCTATCTATCTATCTATCTCAGTCTGTTCATATCTATCATCTATCTATCTATCTCTTTTCAACTATCTATTTGACTCTTTTAACCTATCCTATCTATCTATCTATCTCAGTCTATTCATATCTATCTATCTATCTATCTATCTATCTATCTATCTATCTATCTATCTCAGTCTGTTCATATCTATCTATCTATCTATCTATCTATCTATCTATCTATCTATCTATCTCAGTCTGTTCATGTCTATCTATCTATCTATCTATCTATCTATCTATCTATCTATCTATCTATCTCAGTCTGTTCATATCTATCTATCTATCTATCTATCTATCTATCTATCTATCTGTCTCTTTTCACCTATCTATCTGTCTCTTTTAACCTATCTATCTATCTCAAATTGTTCATATCTATCTATCTATCTATCTATCTATCTATCTATCTATCTCAGTCTGTTCATATTTCTCCAACTGTCTATCTATCTATTTTTATCAATCATTTCACTTTCAGCAAGGCGATAAAGCCACTAAGATCCACGGGGGTTACTGTGTATAAGAGAAAATGAGAAAAAATACTGAGGCGAGATAACAATTGACATTGGATTTAAATTTTTGAAGATCAAATTTGACTGGGAAGCAATAAATCGGAATAGAGTTTCATTAAACGAGAAATGCTACAGAACAAACTGTTAACCTCGAACATATACTAACATTTTCTTTTATGAGGATATGCTAACCTATTCTCATAAAAAGCGCACCCTGCTTCCTCTTTACTGCCTCTGAAAAACAAACCCACGAAGTAATGTTCTACCTTGAGTGGCTCTTGAGTTGGGTGAATGAAATGGAAAAAAATTATTTTGATTTTTTATTCGGTGGTTCGTTTTTACTTCTTATCAACTTTTTACAGATTATTTAAAACCCGAAAATTGGATTAGATTGCAAGATCTTTCTTTTTTTAGATAATAATGGTTTAGTGATAAAAGTCTTAATAAAAGACGACAAAATTGATGATTAACTTTGCATTTATTTTGTTTCAAGTTCGGAATCGATAAGAAAACGCAAGAGATTTCCACAAGGGAGTGGTTCGAAAGAAGAAACAATTAGTATAGAACATTTTATTTTCATTTCTATCCAAGTGAAAAGGAAGCGTATCAGTTCATATTCTGGAAATACTGAGCATAAGTCCGCAAATTAAAGGGTTTAATACATATATATATATATATATATATATATATATATATTTTCATTCTTTTTATAGATACAAATATTTAAGTAAAGGCTCTGTTTATAATAAACAGCATTTACTGGCCTGAATGTCCGCGAAATTTTCATAGAAAATATTCGTTCTCCGACAGGATTCGAAACTGCATTCTATACGGAACCATCATTCATCCTGACGTGCTCTTAACCAACCGAGCCACAGAGAATCGAACGATTCTTTGTGGCTCGATCGGTTAAGAGCACGTCAAGCTAAATCGCGGTTCCGGATATTTTTCCGTTTTCTTTTTGAATTTGTAAGTCTGTTGAATTGGATCAGCATTACGATTCCAATGTAATAAATCATAACCACAGAATAATAGGGCTTGAATCTTTTATATTATATTCTTGCTCTGTCCAGGACATTGAGTTCTACATGGATTCTTGGAAATTTATATATATATATATATATATATATATATATATATATATATATATATATATATATTTTGAGTTTTGTGACCTTGGGTTTCACCCTTTTGCGATCGTCAGACAAAGTGATTAATTTTTTAAAAATTTTAAAATTTTGGGTTTATGTAGATTGCGTGTATACCGCGCATATAATATGTAAATAATTATATATATATATATATATATATATATATATATATATATATAAAATATATATATATTTAAAAGAAAATCAGACCACTTTAAGGTACCATTATAATAATTTTTTCACCAGAGCCCTTTTAAAGGACGCCGGATCCTCAGATAGCACTTCCAGAAATAAAATGAAACGAAAAATGAAATTAAAATTGATGGGTAGTGTAAGTTTGAGCTCTCAGGATTTCAAACCTCCTTGGGATTACCCATACGGATTACCAAGTTCTTTATAAAATCTATCTATCTATGTTCATTATCAGTTTCTGTTCATTATCTATCTATCGTATATACTCGCGACTTTTGAAGATCTAATTTTGAAGCTAATTTTAAGAGGGTCACATCATACACAAGATATAAAATTAGCGTATGAACTGCTGGCCCTGGCTACGCCGTTGACCAAATTATCTATCTATCTATCTATCTATCTATCTATCTATCTATCTATCTATCTATCTATCTATCTATGTTCATTATCAATCTCTGTTCATTATCTATCTATCGTATATACTCGCGTATCATGCGACTTTTGAAGACCTAATCTTGAAGCTAATTTTAAGAGGGTCACATCATACACGCGATATAAAATTAGCATATGTACTGTTGGACATGACCAAGCTGTTGACCAAACTACATATCCATTTACTGTAACCGGAAAGTACAGATCTATTTAAAATAAACACGATTTTGATAAAACTGATGTTTTACTACTTAACTGTATCCAATAAAAATGCATGTAATATTCACCTATTTGTATCGCATTATAAAATAAAAATAGCGATTATCTGTATTTTCCATTATTTACAGTATGTTTAGTTGTTTCTCGTTTGTTTTTTTTTATGTTTGTACGCGCCTACGCAATAAGTGTAGCATTACTAAGGATACTTTTATCATTCTCTTTTACTTTTTAACTTATTAACTAGAAGATGTGATAAAGAGATAGTGGAAAAAAAGTTAGTCTATTGTAATTTCGTCTCTCATAAAAGGAACTCGCATGATACACAAGATACATGATAAAATCTTTTTTTATAAGTAAAAATTTGGAGGTCACACAATACGCGAGATCGGCCGTTCCAAGAATATGTACGCTACTTGAGTTTTCTATTAAATTAAACCCTATCAACCATTATAAATTTTGACTTTTAATTTTTCTTCTTAATCTTGTTTTCAATTCCAACAATTCTCTTCACTCCCATTCATCATAATCATTATGATCAAACAAATGATCGTTTGTGGGCAAAGGTTAGCTGCTGTACTTAACAACTGACCAGTTCCATCAGCATAGTGATTTTCCAAGCGTAGCTGTGTACCTCCCCAGACGAGTAGGGGGAACCCAGTGAGGATCGAACACACTACTCAGTCGTAATAGTTCTAGCAAAACAAGCTTGCTAACCATTACACCACCTCGACGTGGCCATATAGAGATTTTCCAAGCGTAGCTTAGATATGGCACAAGGCCGAAAGTATGAGGCACCCAGTGAGGTTCGAACTCCCTATACAGTCATAATTGTTCTAGCGAGACAAGCTTGCTAAACTTTACACCACCTCGAATGTGCCCAATAGTGATTTTCCAAGCATTGCTTGGATGTGACACAAGGCCGAAAGAATGGGACACCTCGTGAGGATCGAACGTAATTGCTCTAGCGAGACGAGCTTGTTAACCATTACATTACCTCGTGGTGCCGAAAGTTCCATCAGCATATGTGGGCTGAAAAGGCGTAGAGTTATTCTTTCAGAAGTAGCATGTCTTGGGCAAATTCAGGTCAAATCGCCGACTCGATACCTATAATTCACTCGGATTAACCCTTAGTCTAGGGAGCCCTCCACCCAGCGAATCCTACTGGATTCATACAGAACCCAGTCTCTCCATTGTGCTAGATGGCCATCGAGCCAACAACAGTTTTCAAACAACGGACTTGAGGCCGTTGATTCATCTGGATTAACCCTTTACCTTGCTCGATCAGTCTTGGAAGTCCTCCACCCACCCAAAGCATTGTCTTTATCTTACTGGATTCATATGGAGCCTAATCTCCGCTAGTGCTAGATAGCCATCAAGCCAGCAAGAAGTTTCAAACAACGGACTATCGGCCATTGATTAACTCGGATTAACCCTCCGCTCTAGAATTTCAGTCTAGAAAGCTCTCCACCCATCGATACGGTGTCTTTACAGAGCCCAGTCTCCTCATGGTGCTAGATGACGATCGAGCCGAGCAAAGGCCATTGATTCACTCGGATTAACCCTCCGCCGTAGAATTTCCGTCTAGAAAGCTCTCCACCCATCGATACGGTGTCTTTACGGAGCCTAGTCACCTCATGGTGCTAGATGACGATCGAGCCGACTAGAGGCCATTCATGGTGCTAGATGACGATCGAGCCGACCAAAGGCCATTAATTCACTCGGATTAACCCTCCGCCGTAGACTTTCAGTCTAGAAATTACTCCACCCAACGATACAGTGTCTTTACGGAGCCCAGTCTTGCCCATTGTGCTAGAAGGCCATCGAGTTGAAAAGAAATGTCATTATCCCTTTGACCTCTCATTTGTAAAAATCCTTTTAGTTGTCTGGCCTTTCTCTTCAACATGAAAAAGACCACCATAAACAATTTGGTACTTCATTGTATCAGTAGCACTCGTAGAACAAACTGACATTGAATCTATAAATTTGCCTAAAAATAAAACAATATCGTTAAAAAAGCTATCGTCTTTCAAACATAAATCGCGAACTAATTCTTAGCTGCTAGAAAACGAGTACGTACTTAAAAAGAAAATACAAAGACTCCTATCTGATGTAAACAATTACCGTTAGTGAACAACAAAATCTATCGAGTGTGGGTACAAGTTGGTAACAGTTTTCTTCCCATCTCCCCCGATACATTCTCTTGTCGTCTATTTAACTGCAGATGTTACTGCTGTTGTTTTACGACGTAGGATTCCGAGCCGTTTTTTTTTTTTTAATTCGTATATGTTACACTAACGTTTCCCGATACAAAGCCCAAGAGCCACTCAATTTTGAGCGTAAAAAGGCAGAAAATTCTTGAAATTATGCAGGAAATATAACGAGTAAACTTATACTTGAAATAGATAGATAGATAGATAGATAGATAGACAGATAGATGGATAGATAGATAGATATGACCAGTCTTAGATATAAAACAACTGAGATAGATAGATAGATAGACAGATAGATAGATAGATAGATAGATAGATAGATACTGAGAAGACTGAGATAGATAGATAGATAGATAGATAGATAGATAGATAGATAGATAGATAGATGTGAAGAGACTGATTGAAACCAGGGTTTCTATAGCTGTGTTTTAAGTAAATAATGACAGATGACATATTACACAATGTCTACTAACTTGAGAATATCAGCTGAAATCTGAAACCCATAGCATTAAGTACGGTAAGAGCTCAACTTTAGTTCCTGAGGGCTGTTCCCATCAATTATATCTCGAGTGGCCATAAAAGGAGGGGTCTGGCGCTGCCTTCAAGATTTCTCTCTTCTGAAATCTGTCTTTAATCTTTCATTGGCCATATAAGTCCTTCTTTCCATTCACCCACGACTTTGTAATCTCGCCATCATCTTGGGGCCGTGTCTTTGTTCAAATATCTTTCAGTTCATTTTTAAACACTCGTTCCTTGCACATAAAAATACATTAAATGAAACGGAAAAACGATTGTTAAATTTCAGCTGTGATAAAATCGACAGTTAGAAGTTGCCCAATACAAAGTAAAAGCGATAAATCTTAAATAAAGAATAAAAAAATATTCAGTTCACTGTTAAAAGAATACACAGATTTTAAAATTTCAGGACATGTTTGATTTTGCTACCTCCGATTTGCTGCCAGTATAGACCCTGGGCTTTTCTGATACCCTTCCCAAATATATCACGTTTGCTGAGATTAAGTATTTAATATTTATCTGTCTATATTTCTGAGATGGGGTATTGTAATTATTTACACTATTTACATTGTTAGTACTGTTGCCTTTATATTCGTTGCCATATTCATGACGTTTCGGCCGTTGTACGATCCGGCCTTCTTCAGCTAATTGAAATTTCGAACCGAATCCTTTATTTCTTCCACCGGGGTAGATTGTTCTGGTTCCACGTGCCATTCCTCTTTCGGATGTCCTAGTGTCAGGTAGTGTCCCTTTATATTCACTCTCCAAGTTTTTGTCCCACCTCTGCTTGAGGACAGATGGCCCAGTGGATAAAAGCGTTGGTTGAATCCAGTCACTTGAACGGGAGAGTTGTGAGTTTAATACCTGGTCGCAGCAGAGGTGAACAAAAACTTGGAATACTGAGTTAAAGGGCGATAACTGATACTGAGATATCCAGAAGGGGCATGGCATGTGAAACTAGAACAATCTCCGCCGGAGGACGAAGATTTTCCAAAAAAAAAAAAAAAAAAATACAACTATCTGAAAATGGAAATTTAATAAAGCATATTTGATAGAATAATCTAAGGATATCATGTCTGTTTATTTTTATTTTAATCCTCTTAAATTTTCGGACGAATTTCTTAGTGTTGTTATTAAGCTGATTCCGAAATACAAAAGTAGTGTGTGTGAATGATTTTCAGTGACTTTGAAATAGGAGACACCTGCCACTTCTTTTGCAACCCAAGATCAGGAATTTTTAATCATGGGTGGGATCGGGGTGGATTATCATTCAAATAATATGCCATACGTATAATGGTGCAAAAGACTAACAGTTGAAAATAAAATATGGGGGAGAAATTGAAGAAACCTGAGATCACAAGGGGAGGAGTATTATTTGGGAATTTGAAACCTTCTGCGTTGATACTTAGCTAATATTATCTGGAATAACGTAAACATCACTTTTCCTAAGTTAAATACGACATATGGACTAATCAAAACTATTTTATTACCTTTTATCCAACATGTTTTTTTAACTCATTTTATTTTTTTTTTATTTTTCAGGTAAGTGAATTTGTTTTAGTGACATCCGTTAATAAAGACTTCACGTTCGTGTTGAAAAAAAAGCTATTCTTCCATCTCGATTTGTTATCTCGTAAAACGTGTCAGGTAAGAAACACTTTTCCATTTGAGATATTTTCCTTATTTCAATCGTTAGCAACAAACCATTTCGACCAAAACATTCCTCGGCTTTCTTCATATGTTGTTTGGTTTCTAAGAGTATTTGTTCCTCTCATCCTTATTGTAATGTATCATAAAATAAATATCTTATGCCTGTCATAACCATTGACCTTGAGGAGAAACATCTCTCGTACAAAATGTAGTAAAAAAAAAATAATGGTTATGAGTGGGGGGGTCAAAAAGTGCAGTACTCGCCGGCAGGCCAACTGTTTTTTTCTTCTTCTTCGGTCGCCTCAAGGAAATGGATTGCGTGACTCTCTTTCTCAGCCGTTACTCTGGACAGTTGCCCCTACTTCAACTTCCTCTTTGTCCGTCTGTCAATTCGTCCGTCCAGCTCTATTGCACGCAGTCCGCCAAATGACTCCCATTTTTCACTCATGCTCCTGGCACCCCGCTTTTTATGCTGTTCTAATACGGCCAAAATTTGCATGTCTGCAAATATCGTCTCGTTTTGGACGAGATAAGCGCGCATAAATTGCGTCTTCAGTAGCGGCCATATTTCTTTTTGGTCATCACTTTGCAGGCAAGACACGTTCGCGCTCGAATTTTGAGGTCAGTCATGACTTTCGTCACAATTACTATCATGAAATTACGCAGATCACACACCTACCCTACCTAGTTGTCTGATTTCCGCATGAGTAAAATGGCGTTTCGATCTGTGTTTACATTTAGTGTATTAGTTTTTGAACGCGATTGTGACGCAGTGTTAATAAAATCACACATCCGCCATTTGCATCATCGATGTAAACAAAAAGTGACGCTACCAAACTCATGTGGCAACATGCAAAACTGTAGGTCCGCTACACTATCGACAGTAAGATAATTAAACTGTCATTACTGTAGAAAAAACAATGATTATGAGGGGTGGTCACACAAAGACTCTATCTTCCGTAATAAGATTAAAAAGAACACTTACAACCAGAGCTGACTTTGACAGAATTCAGTAAGATATATATATTTTTTAATTCTCTGGTATTTGGCTGTGTTCGTGTGTAGTGTAATGTAACAAGGAGGACTGGAGTGTCGAGATCAAATCTCCAAAAGTAGTTATCTGATAGCGTAAACTCTGAATTCATTCATCCTTAGGTCATAATGGATGTGCGGGTAGTGTGATGGATCACGGATGGAAATGAAAAATCGGAGAGTCGAGTTCAAATTCAAGCCGGGTTCGTTACATTCACTTACGCGGAAAATTCTTAGGGAAAGTTATGAATCCATTTCATCTCCCTCAAGCTGTGGGCTGCATAACAGGACAGGTTGGACCCTATATCTATATTTCCACTCAGTAGCTCCTAGAATAATTAGAGACATAACAGTTACGGCTCACCCAAATGTTATAATAATACAACAGACCTACCCATAATGCACCACTGACGAGCACATATAAATAGTCGAGCCAAAACAGAACACACATGGCCTGACGATTATTTTTCAGCATAAAATATAGTCGCCGCAGGGTGCTGACGTCATTGTTCACTTATATATATATATATATATATATATATATATATATATATATATATGGAATCCATTACATTCTTCGTGCTTTGGGAATGTTGTGAATCCTCCAGTCCAGCTATGGGTAAATAGCAGGGCTGACTGGGTTCTATAGCCTTGGATGGTAACTGGTCTAGGAGAAGGACAACTCTGAATTCAAATCCAGAGTGGAGCCCTTAAAGCGGATGGATGGCACTTTGTGCAACCTTCTGGCAACTCCTGCAGTTTGGTACCAAACTGTATTGGTTTATCCTCTCCTTTGGACTCTGTTAGACGTCTGGGGAGCCCTAGTTCTCCATATATACCGCGCTACTCCATCGTCTCTCGAGACGGACGGATGCCGATGATGACGCTGATATATATATATATATATATATATATATATATATATATATATATTTAAATTCGTAGCATATTTTAGATTGTAGGAGGGGGGTTAGAGTATCCGGGGTTCTAAAGCGTTACCCTATCTAAAAACTGACTGGATTCGACGTTGCTTAAATTCGGTGATGTTTTTCAGCTTAATTCAACCCTTGAAAAGGCTAAAAAGACGAAATATTTTTTTTTAACACGGAATTCTATATTTTTTCTAATTTTTTACTCATTTCATCCCAAGCAAGGTAACAAAGCCACTGCGACGTATGGATGTATTGAGAGTAAAAGAAAACTTTATTGAGGAGAAAAGAGAATCCAGTAAAAGAACAGTGCTGAAAAGAGAGAAGATGACGATTTACATTTGTGAAATGTTAAATCTTACATTGCTTTGCCTATGAGCTGTCGGAAAACACGTGACCGATGTTTCCCTGGGAAACAAAGAAACCCAATCGTTTGCCAATGATTTCACGTAAAAAAAATTATCAATTCAAGGAAATGTTCGTCTTTGATTTAGCAATTCATATTTACCCATCTGCGCCTCTGTAAATACTAAATATAAAAATAAAATCAAGAACTGAAAATCATAAAATCAATTAAAAAAATTGATGTTATCTTCATCTGCAAAAATTAAACACCGCCCGCTCCGTTACATAAAACGGCACCCTAGTTGTCAACATATCTGTCTCTCGCATTGATCTCCTTGGAGCTGTTTCTTCCCCCCCCCCGGGCACGAGGCACCTCAATATTCATATCCGTAATCATCATGAACAGGCATTTGTCAGTTATGTTTGTTTTGGCGGTGGTGGAATCGGTGTGGGATATGGTATTTAACTAAAAGTAGAAATTGTGCGAGAAAGATGTCGGCAAGATCAAACATCAAGCAGCAATCTGATTGGTTGAATCGTAGTGAACGATTTAAAAGACGAGAATTGATTGGTTCCGAGAAAAGAGAAGAAAAAGAAAGAAAAAAAGAAAAAGAAAGAAAATAAAAGAACAGAAAAAAAAGAAATAGAATTATTAATGATAAAAATAGAAAAAAGAAGAAGAAGAAGAAGAGGAGGAGGAAGAAGAAGAAGAAGAAGAATCGATGATGTGAAAGAAAGTAAGACTAAGAATTATCAGTGAATAAAGAATAAAAAAAAACGAACGAAAGAAAGAAAGAATAACAATAACCAGTGAATAATGAAGGAAAAGAACGAAAGAAAGGAAGAATGAAAGAAAGAAAGAACGAAGGAAATAATGAAAGAAAGAATAACAATGACCAATAATAGAGAAGAAAGAAAGAACGAGGGAAAGAAAGAATGAAACAAAAAAGAAAGAAAGGACGAAAAGAAAGAAAAGGACAGAAAAGAAAGAAATGGAATTATTAATGATAAAGATAGAAAGAAAAAGAAGAAAGAGATAATGATGATGATGATGATGATGATGTCAAAGAAAATAAAATTAAGATTTATCAGTGAATAAAGGATATAAAAGAAAGAACGAAGAAAAGAAAGGAAGAATAATCATTACCAATGAATAAAGAATAGAGAAGAAGGAAAGAACAAGAGAGAGAATGTAAGAAAAAATGGAAGAAAGAATGAATGAAAAGGCAAGAAATAGTTGACTAAAGAATAAGAATCAAATGATGATGATGATGATGATGATGAACGAATGAACCACGAAGAATTATCAGTGAATAATTAATAGAAAAGAAAGAACGAAAAAATAACAATAACCTGTGAATAAATAACACAGAAGAAAGAAAGGCAAGAAAGAATGAAACAAAGAAAGAAAGAAAGAACGAAAGAAATAATAACAATGACCAGTGAATAAATAATACAGACGAAAGAAAAGAAAGAAAGAATGAAAAAGAGAACTAAAGAAATAACTAAAGAAAGAAAGAAAGAAGGAATGACAATGACCGGTGAATAAATTATGGAGAAGAAAGAAAGAAGGAAAGAAAGAACGCAAGAAAGAACGAAAAAGGAAAGAATAACAATGAGCAATGAATAAATAATAGAGAAGAAAGAAAGAACGAACGAAAGAATAAATGAATGAATGAAAGAAAGAAAAAAAGAAAAAAACGAAAGAAAGAAAAAGAAAAATATGATGATGAAGAGGAAGAGGAGGAGGGGAAAAAAGGATAAGAACTGAATTACTAAAAAAAAATGTAAAGAGAGATTGCGTAGATATGAAAGTAAGTAAAAGCATAGCGACAAGCGCGGGAAAAAAAATATATAGTGTAACCCGGATATAAGAGATCCGGATATAAGAGAAACCCGGATAGAGGAGAGATTGTCTCTGGTCCCAAATTAGAGCCTGTGTTAATGTAAACAAAATAGACCAAACCCGGATATAAGAGAAACCCGGATATAAGAGACTTCTTCTCCGGTCCCGACAACTCTCTTGTATCCGGGTTACACTGTATATATATATATATATATATATATATATATATATAATTAATTCAATTTGTAGGTCTGATGAATTGGATCGCGATTACGATTCCAATGTAATAAATTATAACAATGGTATATTAATGTTTGAGCCTTTTATATAATATTCTTTCTCTGTCTTGGACATTGGGTTCAACCTGGATTCTATATATCAATATTATTTTCTTTCTTCGTTTAATGATAATGTTATTAAGCTTATCAGACGTTATGAAAATATTTTACATAAAATAAATAGACAGCACTTGTTTATATTATTTAATGAAACATGTATGAATATATATATATATATATATATATATATATATATATATATATATATATATATATATTCACAAATCATCTATCTATCTACAAATCTATCTATATATATATATATATACACACACACACACACACACACACACAGATAGAGAGATAGATAGATAGTTTGTATGTATGTAACTCCGGGTCGTGCTAACGGTGAGGAATATGTATATTTATTAATATATACTTAACAGCGCTGCTGTATTACATCGGGCACTATTTTACTAACACCAGTACTATATGTGCGATATATATATATATATATTATTCCTTATTAGCCGTGGGAAAGGCAGAAGTTATGAGTTTCCAAAATTCCAAGGAGTAGACTTAGAATAATATACATAGCAGACATCATTAGTTCTGGTGGTGCCCATATCTGTCTTTGTCTTGACTCTACCCGAAATTTATCTAGAGTAATGGTTCATTGAATGTGGTACCCACTTTCTGCCCACAGCCCTGAGCCGAAACAGATACAAAAAAAAAGTAAAACTCGAATCATGGCTGGCCCCGTCATTTTGATTCTTTTAATCGGTTAAGTGCATGTGACTGACTGACATGTAAACATTGCACACCATCGAGGAATTTTTCCGAATTGTCAATGCAAGATACGTTATATTTTTTTTTATACTTTTCTTTGATTTATTTTGAAGGAACACTTAAGTCTGGTATGTCTTCTGCGAGGCGAGTCGTAACCATTTCTAATCTTGAGAAATCAGATGCCTTTCTTTTTGTTTGCCTCTTGACATTTATTTCTATCAACCTCTTTCTTCTATTCCTTCATTCCCTTCATTTTGTTTTCATACCTTTCTTTCTTTCTATTTTTCTTTCTTTCTTTTTTCTTTCTTTCTTTTTTTCTTTTTTCTTTTTTTTTTTCTTTCTTTTTTTTTTTTTTTTTTTTTTTTTTTTTTTTTTTTTTTTTTTCTTTTCTTTTTTCTTTTTTTTTTTTTTTTTTTTTTTCTTTCTTTTTCTTTTTTTCTTTCTTTTTTTTTTTTTTTTTTCTTTCTTTTCTTTCTTTCTTTCTTTCTTTTTTCTTCTTTCTTTTTTCCTTTTTTTATAATAGCTGTCTTTTTTATTGCTTACCATTTTTTTCATTCATTCTTTCGTTCTCATTCGTTCATACATTACTTCTCTTTTATTTATTCAATATTTATTTTGTTTAAATTTCCCATTTTTCATTCATTCATTGTTCTTCATTTCTATTTTCCTTCTTTTTGTCCAAATTTATTATTATTCATCATTTCTTTTCATTCTTTTTTCTTTTTTACTTAGTCTTTTTGTCTTCATTCATTCTTTTTTCGATCATCCTTCCCTTTCTTTCTTTCTTTTAGATTGTACTTTTAATCTTCTTATTTAATCACAGCGATTTTATGTAGCATATCAAAATCACATATCTATCTCAGTTTAGTCATATCTATCTATCTATCTATCTATCTATCTATCTATCTATCTATCTATCTCAGTCACTGTCTATATTTCTGAGATGAGGTATTATGTACACTATTTACATTATTCGAACTATTGTCCTCATCTTTGTCGCCATATTTATTAAAACGTTTCGGCCGTTGTACGCTCCGGTCTTCTTCAGGTGGTTGGAATATCTATCTATCTATCTATCTATCTATCTATCTATCTATCTATCACAGTCTGTTCATATCTATCTATTGTCTAAAATAATCATATAAACATATTTTGTTATCTACTTCAATGATTCACGGACACATTCGTCAGGGTCAGATAGATCGAAACACGAGTGATGTCTCAGAAAAACTTTGACGTCGGCTGAAAGATAAGTACTTTGAACCCTTCTTCATTTACTGTTTATTGCAACTTTCGTTCTTCATTAAAAATCTTCAACACACCATGAAATCTGATACATTTTACTATATAATCTTTTCTTGTGATTCGTTCGGTGTTATTAACTTGGATGTTAATTACTAATTATTATTCTCTTGATATTTGTATTTATTAATCGGTTTGGAAACGATCTGCGCATGACTAAAGAGATTGAACATTTAATTTCAGAACCTGTGGAGACATTTGACAATTATATATATATATATATATATATATATATATATATATATAATTATTTATTCCTCCTATCGTTATATATATATTTCGTTACATATATATATATATATATATATATATATATATATATATATATATATATATATATATATTCCAAGAGGATAGAATCCAGGTAGAACTCAATATCCAAGACAGAATGAGAATATAATATAAAAAGGCTCAAACACTAATATTCCATGGTTATAATTTGTTACATTGGAATCGTAATCACGATCCAAAATTTAAATTTGTAGGTCTGATGATTTGGATCATCATTACGAGTACAATGTTATAAATCATAACCATGGAATATTAAAGTTTGAGCCTTTATATATATATATATATATATATATATATATATATATATATATATAGAGAGAGAGAGAGAGAGAGAGAGAGATAGATAGATAGATAGATATAATTGTTTATTCCTCCTATCGTTGAAAAAGAACACAGGTGTGTTCGAAAATTCCGATTTTAATATCTTTAGCAGTGAAATACGAATTGGTTGATGATGTTCGCTCGAGTGGTAAAGACTGGATTCGTGAATTAAATGAATATAGGACACAATAGGGAGAAGCGGGAACATATAATTTGAAAAAAAGAATTTGAAATGTGTAAAACATTTCATCGCCAACCAGGCTGCGTAAACGATACTGAACTTGTTCGAGGCTGGAAAGTGAGGATTGGTTACTTCTGACCGAGATATGGGAGCAATACACTATGTTTGCGCTGATCTATGTTATTGTAGACACAAAAGTAGAGCCAAATACTTTCGGGTGCGCCACAGAGTGCGTGCCAATTTCACATCTTCCGCTATGGATCGTATATTCAAGTTCCCCTTGAGGTCTGGTGTGGGTTGCAGTATCAATAGCCGTTCCAAATTTATTTTCTTTAATACATTGCTAAGCTTTTGGAAGGCATACTTCGCTATTCCAAATTCTACTTTGGATTACAGTGTCACATTCCGTCCACTGTTAAAACGTGTCGCAGATATTCAAATTGTTGTACTTGTTTGATTTTGTCATCCCCAATTTGTAATTTTCATTTTGGGCTCCGTCTCTTTTGCTAGCAACCATGAATTCTGTTTTTTATTATTGTCTTTTTGAAGTGTCAAAACTAGCAAGACAGGACTGGGTATATCAAAGCCAGATATGACAGCGATACATTATTTCCGATCTGGGTTGACTCTTAAAGGATCCGAGTGTAATGTAGAAACCAGAAACCCCTGAAAACGAGTGTAAAACAAAAAAATGAAGCAGTACAGTAGAAATAGTTTGATTCGATTAAGTATAAGTAATTTACATAATTTTCTATTTTTCATAATTCACTAATAATTTTGACTTTTCCTATTTTGCATAATTCACCTGTCAAATATGTTGTATTTAAACTATTATTCTGAAAATTGATTTTTATATACCTTTTTGTGCTTATTAACATATGAAAACCTATGAAAAGATATGGCTAAAAATATTCAAAATTGATGGGTGTACAAATAATATCATCGTTGACTATATATATATATATATATATATATATATATATATATATATATATATATATATATATATATATATATATATGGGAGAAAATATATAATGAAAACACCGGTTATATTTCCGCAACAAGAGGAAAAGTTGTAGGAAGGCTTAATTTTAATTTGTATTGTAAAATTTTCTGGAATATTAATAAGAACGTTATGTTAGTCTGATGAAGTCCTACCAGGTATTACAGACTATTAAACTCTATATTAATAGTCATATATATATATATATATATATATATGTGTCTCTGGTGTCTTATCAAGTGATGATGTTGAATATAGATTGTAGAATAAAGGTTTTAAAGGTTAAAATTAATTAACCACACCTCGTAAGTGCAAACGCCGTCACATGAGATGGAATCTCGTTCGATCATCGAAGTTAAGATCGTAGAAGCATTTTAGTATTTAGATAAGGGACCACTTGAGAACACCTGAAACCCCAAAGTAACCCTTTTTGTAGTCGTTTTAATGTAAACATATTTCATGTTATAACTTTTTCCTGGTAATTATATTCATGGTCTGACATGCACGTGTAACAAGGGCTCTGGTTCAAGAATAGTCTGCATCGGTAACCGGCGGCTTCTGGTCGTTCCTGTCTCTGCGTCTGTGGGAATCCCGCGGCAAGCAAGAACGTTATCCGAGTAGGCCTGGGTACCCTACTATAATCCCAAGAATCTTCTTCTCATAACAGGGAAGGATATAATCCGCCCAGGGTGAATGCCGCATCAGTACAGTATACCCCTCGTAAGTGCAAACGCTGTTACATGAGTTGGAATGACCAATCAAAATACAAGTATACAGTATTTTGATTGGTCATTTTGACGATAAGACACCAGAGG